ATACAATCACTTACAACCCCACTTGACGCAGCAGTAGTCAGTACCGCCGGTGTGCTGAGAGCAAGTGTACCCAGCAAGACATCCCTGGAAGGCGCAAGTGAACTTGGAGCTGTAGCAAGCACCGATGTCGAGGACCTCGGCACGAGGCTCCACCACCTCAGTAGGCGCGGCGGTGGCAGTGGCAGACAGAAGCCCGAGGGCAAGAACAAAGACTTGAGAAGGCTGGAAGATCATGGTGGCGATTGATTTGAATGAGTGACTTGAAGTGAGGCTGTTGTGTATGAAACTGATGGGAGGCTATAGTGAGATTCAAGTTCAACATCAGCGCGAAGCGTCTCTATTTAATATTCACCAACGGCTTTGTTGTTGATGATTGTAACATCTGGTAGTCGATCGGGTTTGCCGAATAGTACTCATCTCGTATTGCTCCATAGTCAGAAGCTCGGCTTGCCAGGACATATCAATCCACCAATATAATTCAGCAGAATCCTTCTCCTCACAGTGACTCGTGCTGTCCGAAACTTAAAACTCCTGGCTACCGGGGCTGTCTGCCGTACGATAACAATTCCCCAAATCTCCAGGTCCATTGATAATATAAGATTAGTAGTGCTCTCGAGCGACCAGACCGTGGGTGCTGATCGTGCTCGACTGCTAGTACTTGGAGTAAGTTAGTGTCTAGAGATTACGGACATGGCTTAGTATGTACAACAAGAACACGATAGCTAACTTCGTTTGCTTCAAGTTATAGTACTCAGCTTACATTCATTCAAGCAAACGGCTACCTGAAGGAATCTTGAACCAGATCGTGAGACTTGGAATAGCAGTCATAGTTGAGGCCCGATCAAATTTTCTCTCCGAGTTCAGTGAGTCCAGCCAGCTGTCAACGGGTCCGACTCCGCGGAACCACCATGCTTGTTGGTAGCCTCGGCAAAATAATGTAACCATAGCTAGATCGACAGAGACCCTTTGTAAAGTGGATTGAGGGACTCGTTTGAGTCATTCACCCAATGTATGTGTGACGGGGAGCCGGAGCGGCAGAGTTCTTTCGCGACATATCTACTTGCGTTACGCTTATTTTCGACTCAAGCCACCTCAGTTAGCCAAAGGCTGCAACCGCGATCTGTATGACAGGCAGTAAGCTATCACATCTTGATACACCTGAATGTTATTCAACTTCCGGCATCATAGTGGTCATCCGTGGTAACTTCTAGCCAGAACCACAAAAGACATTGATAAGAAGCCAATGATATAAATCGAACTTAGCAGTCTAAAAAGCATTGCAGTTTTGGCCAACATCTTAATTCGTCATCTAGAAAGACCAATATAAGAAAGTTTTGTTTGAAGGTTATCCTGCCTGAAGTTGATGTCGGATGGCATTTAACGGAGTTAAGGCGGCCGGGGAGATTATGAGAGTGGGATTACAACGTAGGACTGGAACTCGCGTCCAAGTATTCTCGCACTGAACGCTAATACACCGGGGTTTAGTTGCTGACATGGAGGGATGGTGTTCCGCGACGAGTGAAGAGAACAGCGTTAGCTGGATGATCCTCCAAGGACATGGAAGCTTTCCACCTTTAGATGCGAGTGCAAATTCCTTAGGTACTTTCGAATACATGTGGTTTCGGACAACTTATTATTGTGGGCTATCTCACTTACACATGAGTCGACGTGGTCCCATACGTGGCGGAGTTATCCGATCTCCACTGAACAACAAAATAACAGCGACTTTCTTCTGAGCACCGAGACAATCCGACGACGAGTAACGTTCAGAGCTTATTGGTTTCAATGAGAATAAGGCAAACGAAATGCTCGGAAAAGTACATGCCCGGCTGCAATTGTGCGCACACGTAAAGCCTCAATTCAGCGAGCAAATCGATTCGACCCACGCCAAGCCAAGAAGCCTGATGATGATTTGCTGGATAACTCCGTAATTCTGTCGAAGGGACCCAAATGTTCCGTCCTGTCATGTCCACTCTGCTGATCGGCGTGGATTATGGGAGCAGTGTTGTAGTCAGGAAACCATAATGACCTTCGGGGTACCCCGAATCCTCGGACCTGGGGCAGATGATCCTTATTTCCCCGCGAAAACCCTTACCCAGCGCCCTCTCCGGATGATATTAAAGTCGTCGCATTGCATCTCCACCACCCTACTCAGCCACCCATACAGACGAGCATACTGCCTAAGGTACGGATACACAAAAAAGAGATGACAACTGCCAAGACTCAGAATACGAGATTGCAGGGAAGAAATGCCGGTCAAGAATCGCGATTCTCCAAAGTCCAGGCTACGTCGGGCGGGTCAGATGCGGTTGATATTAATACCCCATTGAGTAAGGATCCCGTTCGCCAAGAGGTTTGAGTCTAGACGACGAAGCTTGTCGCTCTGATCACCCTTGCAGTGATGACCTCAATTGATGTACATTCAGCCTCAAATCACAATGCCAACTTGAAAAATCTTTCAGATGCATCTTCTTTATTGTCCTATCAACTATATATGCCCAAAATGACACCTACAAATCTCAAAAATGGGAGAGCCAAGGTCCAAACCCAAGGCAGCGAAGTCTTCCAAACATCCTCATTCCATCGTAAGAAACAGCGCTTCCCCGCCCATCTCTGATGAGGGAATCCCAACTCCTCCATGTACAAAGGTAAGCGAGCTGCGAAGCGCTCTTGGCCGACGGAAAGGGCGGAACGTCTTCTCGCCCTCCGCGGCTGGCTTTCGGTCGGTTTGACGAAATTGCCCGATTTGACGAGAAACCGCTTACGCGCCGTTGCCGTTGTAGGCAATCAGGTTGGGGGAGCTGTTGAGGGTACCGGTGATCTTGCCAGAGGTACCGAGGGCCTTGATGCGGGCGACGATGGAGGCGGGGGTGCTGAGGCCCTCGACGGACTGGAGGTAGTTGACGAGGCCGGCGACGTGGGGGGAGGCCATGGAGGTACCAGAGATGGTGTTGGTGGCGGTGGTGGAGGTGTACCAGGTGGACAGGATGGAGCTGCCGGGGGCGAAGATGTCCAGGGAAGTTCCGTAGTTGGAGTAGGAAGCAATGGCCCAGGTGCTGGTGATAGCACCGACGGTGATGGCGTTGGCAGCGTTGGCGGGGGAGACGTTGGCGGCGTTCTGGGCCTCGTTACCGGCGGCGACGACGGTGGTGACACCGGAGTTGTAGGCGGCGTTGATGGCGGTGGTCCAGGCGGTGGAAGCGGGGCCGCCGAGGGACATGTTGATGACGGACTTGCCGGCGCGGCCCTTGGTGGTGATGTCGTTGACGGCCCAGTTGTATCCGTCGAGAATGACAGAGGTGGAGGCGGAGTTGCCGACGAAGACCTTGACGGAGATCAGAGAGGTGAGCTTGGCGACACCGTAGGTGGTGGAGCCGATGGTGCCAGCAACGTGGGTGCCGTGGCCGAGGGTGTCGGTGTGGGCACCGCCGGCGGCGTTGTAGCCGAGCGAGGCGCGGCCGCCGAAGTTGGTGTGGGCGGTGTTGATGCCTGAGTCGACGACGTAGGCAAAGGTGCCAGTGCCGCCGGCACTGTCGTAGATGTACGAGGTAGAGCCGGAGGTCTTGTGGGAGATTGTTCCGAGACCCCAGGGAGCACCGGTCTGGGTTACAAGGGCGCTCAGAGTGTAGATCTCGTCACGCTCAACGGCAGCGACCTGTTCATAGTGTTAGAGGGAGCTCTAACATCACATCGAAACATTGAAGCTTACCTCAGGGCTGGCCTTGATAGCCTCAATGGTGGCATCGTCGAACTTGCCAGAGTATCCCTGGAAGGAGTTGAAGGAGTAGGTGCGCTCGGCGCCGGTGAACTGACGCTTGTCGAGGCTGCGGGAGTGAACATCGTTGACCCAGCTCAAGTGAGAGGTGAGGCCCTGGGAGCCGACAGAGCTCTTGAGGGTGATGATGTAGCTGTTCTCAGCCCGGGTCTGAACCATGGTCTCGGCAGCTCTCTCCTTGAGAGTGGGAGCAGCGAAGCCGCAGGTAGCAGCTGCGAGCAGCGCAAGTTGCTTGAAACCGACCATTGTGACTGTCGATAGACCGAGTTGCAGGAGTTGGAGTTGGGATTGTAGGAGAGGATGAGGGGTGAAGAGTGAAAAGAGACCGAATATCGTGGGTCGTTGAAAGCCGTTATATAGATTTCCTCCTCGTCATTGAAATCGAGTGAGGCTCGATGTTCATCCGTTGCATGTCATGTAAGTGGCTGGCTCATCCAGGCCCTCGATGGTGCATTACTGCTTGCAGACAGAGTTCCGGGGCGCCCTTCGAGAAGGAGTACGTACATGATTCGGACCCTGCTCAGAAAACAGCCACCGCCGCAGGGTCCAGGTCGGGATGAACCTGTCAAACTTGGATACGTCGCCAAAAGTTGCACTGGCGGTTGCACAGCAAGTGAACCCAAGTCGATAAGACGATATGGTCTGCGGAAAGGGGAAGGAGAGTACCAATGGCGCCATGTGGCGACATAAAGCAGCCATCTCAGAAGCTTGTGCGACAAAATCAAAAATAGGAAGTTGATTGACGGCGATATTGGTGATGCAGCAAGCTGGGTGAGAGAGGAGGCATGCTAGGCCGGCTTGGCAATGCAACAAAGCTATCAGATGGTCTCAAGTGACTTTAGCATTGGGCGGTAGACAACTTTTGCAGGCATCTCAAGCCCTCTGTTGTCACCTGGTTAAATACAACCAGTAAGCTTTGAATGATACCAGGACTTACAAGACAAGAAGCAAACGTTCCGGGGATCAATATCGCACAGTGGAGATACGCGTCCCGCGGGCACGGGAGAGAGGTGGATAGAGCTTCGATAAACAGCTGTTGTGGGCGCCGCTGTTAAACGGAAATGCAGCGGTGACAACATCGGCATTTGCACGGCCCATTGGAGTGGTCTTCCAATCCCATTCTTCGAGCAGTACAAGGCGAGAGCTGTCCGAGCCAAAAGCCACCAATGAAATCGAGTTGTCGAATACTAATGGCCATTAGCAATTTACCTCAACGCCCAGTCCCAAGACCGGTACGGTCCTCGGAACGGCAGTGCCAAGGCTTCTTTATGCATAAATTCAGTATGCGGTGGATTCCCGAACTCTCGCGCCTGACCCCTGCAGAGTGGTTGAGAAAGGACATCTTTTCTGTCCTGATGCTAGACAAAAAGTCTATGGACCCGAATTAATGGCAGCTGATGCGTATGAGGTCGTTTTGCAGGTTGTAAATGTCAGAGTTGGTGATGGTGATGGCCTCAGTGCCCACTCAAACCCAAAAGTTCCAACCTATGAGATGTTGGAGACTGGGACCACCTTCACTGTTGCTCCCCATCTCCATCTCTAAACGGGGCTTGAGCTTCAAATGGATGCATCGGGGGTCCGGGGTGGCAGACGATATCGCAGGCCATAGCGAAGCTCTGGTTCGTCGGAGGAGGGTTGATCCTCGTGCGTCAAGGCGATGTTACCCCAGGTGAGATATCTCGCCTTCCTAATCCGGCAGTTGGCCGTGGAGCGTGACAGTCGGCGATCGGGGTGGGATGACAAGTTCTGGGGGAATTGGGGGCTGCTAAAATACACCCCAGGAGAGGATGATGGAGGATAGGTAGCAAATGGCGAATTAGTCGTGATAAGTGCCACCGATGAGTGAATTGCTGCATTTCCATCGTTGATTCCAGAGCGAATTGTCCGTTGCACGACGGTGGATCGCATGTGGCGGCCGAGGGCGGATATGTTGGCGCCAGGCTCAGACCAAGGAGCTCGCAGATGGTTGTCTGTAGCCCGTCGGAGAGCGTTTCCGAGGCGGAATTCATGTAGACTTCCGCGTCTACTGTCATAGCTCTCAAAGGCCAGCTGCAGAGAGCCAGCAATGTACGCACCGTTGTCTGTTGCATGGACATGGAGCACTCTGTTGTACCCTATCCTGATTGCGGTGGGTTGACTTGGACGCATATTCTTGTTTACTGCATGCAAACTGCCAACAGAGCCATGGAGCCAAGGCAGACAGACGTTGATGTCAAGGATTAGAGCTCCTGTGGAGACTCTGGACAGGAGGGGGAGACAACCCGCAACAGAAGACCCCTGAAGCAGCTCATCGTAGCCCCTCACTACAGATCTAGAGCTCCCGAACTCGATTGAGCACGTACCGAAGGCCGCAGCTTTCCTACGCAAGCAAAGCTGTGTTGCCCTTGAGAGCTTTCATCCTCTTTGGATCGGAGGAGGGTCTTTTGGGATGTTGAGATAAGCCGGTTGGTCTACAACACATCTCGGCAGAGATTGGCCTGTGTTAGGCTTCCCAAAGGTCCTTGCCAGGGATTTTGGGCCTTCACGCAATTATCAGCGCATATCAGCGCGTCCATACTTGGATGAGCGAGTGCAGTGTTCGCTGCGGGTGTCCTAGGCTTCTGACTGGACAGTGCTCGTTGGAGACCCCTGGTTCCTGATCAAGATCCCTGAAAGGACGAACACCTGTACGCCGTCAGCAGCCACCCGCACCTTTGTTCGAAGGAGAGCTCAGAATAGGGTTGGCCGAGACATCTGTGAGCCGAAGCCTTCACGACTTGTGGAACCCCGCATCCTTGGTAGTGGGAGACGCCACATGATTCTGTGGCTGGGCAAGATATCCCAAACATTGAATAATTGCTACCAAAATTGAATAGGTGTAGCCGTAGATCGGCAACATTATGAATTGGAAAAAAAGAGAGGAATCCCGGGCGGCAAGAGATAAGATACACAGGTTACCAAGGTAGAAGCGGTAACAGCCCCGTCTATCACATGTTGCAGTATACGTATCGAAATACGTACTCTGAAGGTACCCGCTTTCCCACCTCAGGGCGGGCCTCTCCGAAATTCCCGCCGGCAAGTGGGGGCTTGAGCCGTACCAGGTGCAGCATATGGTCCGAGCGCCTTTCCATGGCACCGATAACGTGATAAGGTAGTGGGTCCTCCTGCTTTAGCGATGCTGACATGATCCAATGCCCCTGCCCTTTCGGAGCGGAGATGGTGGGATGGCAACTCCCCGAATGTCACCGTTGCTACTCTTTCATTCTCTCCCATTCTCATCAGTCAGGACTCAGAAGTCCTGCATAATTCAGGAAGCGGGAAGCGGGGAGCAAGCTTGCCTGTAATCCAGAAACTCCAGACTCCAATCGCATGATCTCCATTCACGATCAAGCTTAACTTGCACAGCCGTTACTCAACCGTTACAACCGTCTCCAGTCCGGCGTGCCCAAGTTAATTGTTTAACCGTTCCATGCTACAGAATATTCAGCCGTGGAATCCTTCTTGGCTTTGGAAGTCAGCTCGCACTACGCTCTTCTAACGTCCTTCCAGACTCGTCCTATCCTGCAGGTCAGCCAAGACGGGATCAAAGGCAGCAGCACAAACTACGAGAGATTTAGGCGCTACATCGACTCAAGGAGTTTGTGTACTACGACGGAGCCTCGAGCCTCTCATTTCCACCACCCCTGTCACCCCCGAGTCTCGCCGCGGCAGAACAGCATTATCCTAGGTTCGGTGCCGCTGCCGAGATCTTGTCTCATGTGGGCACTGGGGTGATGGATCAAAAACCCTTCCCTCTGATGCTTGACTACGGAGCATCGACGTCGACTTTCGTCATAGGCAGAAACAGAGGGACCTCAAATGCTCTACAGCTATCAACAACATACTCATACACACCCACAGGCTGCGCAGCACTGACCACTGCCTGCAGTCATTCAATAGCTTGAGAGTTACAACAACACCCTTGACCGAAATAGTCGTGTCACACAACACACTGCGAGTGTGCTCGCCGTTGGGCTATGTGTTAGGCTACCGCCCAACGTCCGCCACCGAAATTCCCACGATGGCATCGCTTGCTGAAAGGGGGAGGTGACCATCAAGGTGCGGCTCTGAACCGGACAAACTGGGAAGGTTCAAAGCTAGTGGTATTCTGGAAGGCAGTTTAGGCAACTCCTTGGAACCGCAGTCACGATTTCTTGCAACAGAATGGTGGCATTCTTTGCAGAACCTGTTCTAGCCTCCCCGCTTCTACTGACCTACCACACTCGGCAGCCCCAGCCAGGAACCACCGGCATTCCAAGAACCTACAAATGCTTGGCTCCCATCTCTGCCAGGATTCTTCAGCACTACCGCTTTACTTCTGCAAGATCATCTTTGCCAAGACAAACAGCTGGTGGTGTGGTTTCCTCACCTTCCTTTCACGACGATCACCTGGAAACGCCGGCATGAACCGCGAGTAGCCTTAGAACACTCGTAACTCGGGTCCCGGATCACATCACATACTATCGGACTCTATCGAACCCAGGACGTCCTACCTCAATACGATGATGGTCACGACATCGTCGCACAATTCCATGCTCCGGTGGCATCAAGCACGATGGCCTGAGACTTCGGAGATATGAACAATTACGATATGCCTCAGATGCCGCCAAGACCTGGCCTTGCCCAGAGTATCCATACACTTCCAAAGTCAAGATCCCCGACTTGAGGAACGATGCAACATTGAGGATCCGGAGTACGATCCGGCCGAGCTCGCCGTTACACCCAATCGAAACCCCTACGCCGCACTTCCAGCCCCAGCGTGTCACGCCGCAAGGTAGCTACGCCGACGGCGTTCCGCCCAGCTGAAGCCTCGCCACCTGCTCTATAAGGCGAGCGGGCGACGCGCCGCTGGGACTCCAATGTCTCGGCGTGCAGCCGACGTATGATGGCTAACAACCGCCTTCCTAAACCTCACCCTCTCACACAGGAAAATGGCCCAAAAGAGACCGCTCGCCATCTCCGAAAGTTATGACGGACGCTATTAGTCTGTCTTGGACATTCAGCTCGCCGTACCTGCCTTTTCTAGCAACACTGAAAGTAGGTTTCGACAGCCTCAGCATCAGAGCTACCATCGTTAGGCAACTTCCACTTTCTCAAACTCCCTCCATTTCATCAGACAGCTCAGGCTCTTCCTGTCGATATTCTCTTCGTCTTTGCCGCTGCCTATGACCTTGCTCTGGTCTCTCAACGACATCATTTCCTTCCAGTCCTTCTCCGCGGCAATCGCGACAAAGGCCCTCAACCGGGAGAACGCCGTTGATCCATTGGTGAACCCAGGTATTTCGAGGGCATGGTCTCGCTCCGTCTCTGACACGTTGACATTGCTCGTCCCGAAAGCATACGCCCAGGTGCATGCATTCGGACTCCCCAGTGAAGTAGTATTTGTGGCACATGGTTTAAGCTGAGTATGAAATCTTGGTTCGCCTCTTGTATCTGACTTCGACAGAGTTGTTGGATGTGTTGTTCGAGATCAGAGGCTATCGATCTTGGGCGTTCCTGACTTGGTCTTCTTTCTTGCAATCTCACGTACGGTATCAGAGAATCAATGATGTCGACGAGGAGGCAATTATGCCAAAACTACGGATACTTATAGATACTTGACTGAGATTGATCGGCAGTGGCTAGAATCAGGCTTGCTCCAGTGAATATGAGAAATTAGTCACCATGTAGATTCATCAGTCGGACAGCATCGATCCATGATCTTTCACTTAGAGCTTGACCTGCTTGTATGATTCAGCCAACTTTGTTTTGAATTCAAGCGGCGCTCATGTTGTACAGCTGCTGTCCCCCCATGTCAGGGTGACTGTGATGTGAATCAGCAGGGTTTGCTATATAGCCTATGACATGATATGAATCATGTGTTCATGATTGTCGACTGCCTCGGGGCAAGACTACCCGGCTCAACAACGAATTAATGTGGACTGTTCCGGCAAAAGAATCACTGATGCCTACCTAAGATGTTGAGCATATGAATCCAACAAGGACTCATACTCTGGTTCACACATACTGATCATGTAACTCCCTGGTTCAAAAGAGGTATATCTGATCGCATTGCATTGCTTCATGTCAGGATTCACATTCGAATACCTAGACTAAACGGGTTGAAGACTAAATTTCGTGAAAAACATTCCATAGAATCAACATAATCGTCCAGAGGTCATGTCATGGTTCTGAACATCCATCACGGGCGACTCTTTATTGTAATTCGAGAAGTACCTACAGCTAGGAAACGACGCAAAGGCCCTGGCCCTGTCAGGGGACTTGCCGGCGCAAAATGATATAATCATAATAATGACACGGACGTTTTCCTTAAGAAACAAAGCATTTCCAAACTAAAGACTGTAGTTATTAAGTCATATAGAATGCCTTGAGCCCCTCAATAGTGGAAGGAAAACTAGTCAGCAGTGGGCTGAAATTAAACCATGCCTCTTCTCGCGTGATTTTCGTGGGGATACCGAAAAATTGTAATAAAATTCGTAAACCTCTCCTTATTCGAAATGATGCCAATGCTTTTCTCACTCCTTATCGCTACTGACTTTTGTGGATTTCTTGCGAACTACAAACAACGTGAAACGCGTTAGCCCGGCATTGATACTTGATAGTCTAGCTCGGGAGTTCGTAGCACGTGCATTGATAAGATGTTTTCGGCTCTTCGGATAATTGCCATCCGCACCAGAACAAAGAAACAGCCGTAAGTTTCCGACCGCGAAAAGTTACATGCGACTTGGCCTCTGCAAGTATTCAACTCAATTTCGGCAACATGATCAACTACCCACCACCCAGTGCTCTCGAAAATCTGCCTGCAGATATACTACTGGGGATCATTTCTTTCCTCGAGTCCTTGAGCGATTTAAATGCGCTCGTCAATGCGTCCCCGTCGCTGCGGAGATTCTTCACAGCGGAACGACGGCGCGTCATCCGACAGGTTGTTCACCACGATGCAGCTCCTGTCGTCAAAGATGCCACGGCACTTGCGGTTATCCCAAATGTCGGCCAAGTTAAAGATAATTGTGCAAGGGAAATGGTGAGCGCCACCAAGCTGTACGCAATATTTCGGGAAGCTCTCGACGCAGACACCGCAGACATATCATCCATATCAGGCGATCACTTGATTGAGGCTACGCGATGCGACTTCGTCGCTCGAGACTTTGTCACTTTGTACACCAAAGTTCAACGGCAGCAACTTTGGACTGTTGACTCAGAGGCAGCCAAGCCGCTCACAAAAGACGAAAAAGATCGTCTCGTGCTCGCTTGCTTGCGGTATCAACTGCTTACACAAGTCTGTCGCGACCGCGTGAGTGAAGAAACGACTATGGAAGTACGGACAATTTTGAATCAATGCTTCACACCTTGCCAGATAGAGCAAATTGCGGGAATACACGACTTTGTAGGCAAGCTACACCAGTTTTTCGTCTCACACCAAGACCCAGCAGGGTTTGATACGCCAAACACACATGTATTTTACGATATTACAACATTCCGACAGATCCTACGAGGTGGACTCACTATGGGCCCAGAAAACACCAAGATCTTTGCCGCTGCATTGACAGATTTGAAGTGCATTTCGGATCATCAGATTCTTATGGGAGGTCACCAAGTACCCAGCAACTACATTTTGGAGTACTTCCCTGTGGTATCCTCACAGCTGGATCTGACCCTTCACACGCTCTTGTCCCATGAGTATGAGATCAGACGGCTGCGAGATGTAATATACGGCTACGAAAGAAGGTTACCAGCAATCGCCGTTGATGACTCAAAAACGGATCATCCTTTTGCTTGGGTCGACGCGCACGCTAGTTTAGATTGCCGTCGCTGGGGTTCTGAGTTGCTGCGAAATTCCCCCGATCACGTGGGCATAGATAGCACGCGATTGGATCGGGTGAAAGCCACCGTTGAAGCGTGGAGGCAGCTTGGCTTTTTGTACTGGGACCGAGACCGTGTTCAGCTTTTGAAGAGGTCTCTTTTGCAGTATCGAACGGGATGGCTTAGAAATGTGTGGGATCGGGCAGATGTCTTCTAGCATATTATAAGCTTTGGCCGATGACGACAAAAAGACATTGTAGACTCAAGAGTGGATTAGATAGCCCGAAGAAAATATCCTCGTTCACAAATTGCCTTGACCAGCTTGAAAAATGCCAATATAGTTGTAAACAGAGATGTGCCATCAGGAAGACACGGAAGCTGATTAGATGGGTGTTTTTAATGACCAACTTTCGAGTGCCCAGTCAAACAGCATTGCTATTAATCACAGGGTAACAATGGTGGCACTAGCTTGGCGATTGCCAAGAGTACGCTGAAGTACCCCGGACTCTGACCCCATTGAAGAATTCAATGCAACCATACCGCAACCATATCTGTAGGGCTCGGGCAATTGTGACCTTTCAGCCTCATAAGGAGATGATGCATGATAGCTGCATCTCAAATTATCATTGATATTCCGGGCTATTAAAAGTCTTCTTGTGCACATGCGATTAAATGTACTGTCTTGGAAGATTCATGCTGTAGTAGCCAAATTCTGGGTAGGAGAGCCCCCAACGGCCATAGACCCGAGTGCGACCTCTGCAGGCTACAAAGTGTCAATAAGCTCACCGCATACTTTACGTCACTTACACCTAACGTACGAAAACATGCAGCAGTCAAAGTGTGTGATCTGGAGCTAAATAGTTCTTGTTCGCGGAAGGTATTAAACAAAGTGAGTCTGGAAAGCTCACTTTCCGGTATCGTCTTCTGCCAGATCCTGCCAACATTACTGTTGTCGTGGGGACTTACCAGCTTTGTACCACTCGTCTCGTTGTCCAGTTGCTTTGATAGCCCCACTCTCCTCTCAGAATGCATGAGAACTTGCGCGACATCGGCGTTGCCGTCTAATTTTGTTCTTTCAAGCCGGAAGAAAAGAAGCCGTCCTTCTCCCTGTCAGAGACCCAGGGCAGAAACTCAAAGTCGTGACCCAAGCTCGCCTCGTCTCTCTCTCTCTCTCCACTCACAGGAGCAATAAACTCGCCGGTTCGCCACGCACAGTCGGAGCTAGCGCCGAATAATATTGGCCGGAGCCCACACCGCGCGCCGCGCGGACAGTGATATGAAGGTTAAGACTACATGCACTAAGCCTTGCTCTATGCGATTCGAACCGGCTTTGATTTCGGACGAATTGTACTCGTAACAGCTCACGAGTCGATTCTTCGCAACGCACCTACTCTCGTCAGATTCCGGTCACCGCTCGAGGCGACTAGTGCTCACAATCCTAGCGCGCGGGAAAGAAACAAGCCTTTTGCCCCCGAGTCAGTGACTCAACAACGCAAAGTCGTCAGCCCGTTGTTCCCAGGCAAGCCGGACTAACCGTGAAGCAAACCACTATGGTGTGGCCCCTGCTATGAAATCGCTCTTGTATCCGCTGATAAAGTCATCAACGCAGTGGGTCGGCGTGGGGATAAACAACGTGGCAGGTCAAGCCACGCGCGCCGCTTACAAAGTCCGAGATATCTTGTCTATATAATAGCTTCAACCGTTCAGTTGATCAGCAACATCTCTTCCACATCCATTCACAAGCGGTGGGATAGCTAAATGGTCGATCTCGTGGTGATGCAGTCGTTTCCTCAGCATTGAAATCAAAGAGAGATGGAAGCTCATAATCATAATGTTGTATAATTAACTTTCTCACATCGTGACGAATGACTCGCTGGGTGCACATGCTCAGTCCGCTTTACAGGGGTAAGGCTTCTAGAGTCAGAGTTCAGTCAAGTCAAAAGCCAATTCCCCAAGGTAAGGTTCGCGGTGATTAGCCACAGGACAATGGCCCCCACAAGCGAGAATGAAGCTCATTTCCTACATGCGATGAACTCGGGACCCGGCGAACACTGGGAAATCTTAATTGATGAGACTGTCTCTGGATTCGAACCATATGGTTGGGACTCGGCATTTTCGGGTGTTATTCGTCAACCGTTCAACCGTTCGTATTCTGTCTCAGTGCTTTAGGTGAACTTGTATTTAGGCCGTGATCGTCGCTTTCCATCTCTCTGTTCTATGTTGCTCTCACCAACCCACTTTGTCACTCTTTCACAAGCCTGCCTACCACTTTGACTTTCTAAGTCTGTCCATTCTTTCCAACACGAGTAATCACCAATAATCTCTTACCTAATCACCTTCAACCGCCAAAATGCAGTTCTCCATCTTCACCGTCATCGCCGCTGCTGCCAGCTTCGCTGCTGCCCTTCCCGTAAGTACCATACGGAGCTATGCTTGACTTGACCGTGCCAGCGCTGACATGACCTCGTAGACTGCCACCTCCACCACGGCCGCCGCCGCTCCCTCCGCCACCTGCGGTAAGCTCGGCAACTTCCACAAGACCACCGTTAAGGCCGGCCAGACCTTGACCATCATCGCCGAGCGCTACAACTCCGGTATCTGCGACATCGCGTGGCAGAACAAGCTCGCCGACCCCAACGTCATCTACGCTGGCCAGGTTCTCCTCGTCCCCGTCGACGTCTGCGTGCCCGACAACACCTCCTGCATCAAGCCTTCCGGCACCGCTACCTGCGTCACCGGCGGCGCTGCCACCTACACCATCAAGTCTGGTGACACCTTCTTCGTTGTCGCCCAGAGCCTCGGCATCACTACCGACTCCCTGACTGGAGCCAACCCCGGCGTCGTTCCCGAGAGCCTCCAGGTCGGCCAGGTCATCAACGTCCCCGTCTGCTAAATGCTCCATGGACATTCGACAAGGAACTCACGAACTTCATGTTTCCCTGAGAAGTAAGCAATAGTGAGGCTAGAAAATATCAGAACACACAAAGCGATTCTTGGCACGTTTCTGATCTTGCGTGACGTGCTTAATGACGTGAGTTCCTGTTGCACAAGCCTTTTCAAAACGAACAAGTCTCTGCAGTAATTTCGTCATGTCTTGGACAGCAAAAGGCTAGATTACCAACACAGAAAAGAAGGAGTCATGGCAGTAGTTCCGTATCAAATGCTTGCCATATTCGCGGAAAGAATTTCCCGCATACGCGACAAATTATTGATTCGCTTTTGATTCCAGGCCTCCCTTCTTGTCTCAATTTCATGCTTATAGCGCATCACCTGAGAAGATCCCCCCGTGTGCTCTATTCATGTGGTCATAGCAAGGCTTCGAATCATTGAATGCCTCCAGACAAACCCAGCAGATGTGTGCTTTGCAAGCGCTGCAAGTCATGTGATTGCAGCCGTCCGACTTCTGAATCGAGGTTTTGCATCGTGGACAGTCTTTGATCCCTAGCTTCTTCTTGACTTTGTCGAACTCCCTGTCAGCATCCGCAGCTGCTCCTGAAGTGAAGTATTTGTGTTCAGCACAAGTCTTCCCATGGTGGTCGAAGTTACATGATGCGCAAATGGTCTTCGAGCAACCTTGACAGCTGAAGATTCTTGGCGGTCCCTGCAATATCGGTCTGTATATGGTTTGACAGTCTGGGGTTGGACACCAGCGAAACTCATCCGGGTGACTTTTGACATGACTAGTCGCCGCGGCAGCAAGAAGTTCTTCGAATGGGAGCGATGATAAGCAGTCCTGGAGCTCCTGAAGTGAGAACAAGTTATTGCAAGCGCCCTCCTTAGCTAGACAGCGAATGCCCGGTTCCCCGTCACCGACGATCGACTGGTAGAAGTTCTCGAAACAGTCGCGGCAGTACACATGTCCACAGTTTACTTTCAGCGGGTTCTCGGCCGTTGTCCAACAAACCGGACAGCACTCCTCTGCTACTGTGGTATTATCATGCTCCTGAGGCAACCGTCCTTTGGCTAATATATCTATAGCCGTGTCAAAAGAAGCTCGCGGGCCGATGATCTCTAATCTTTTGGGTGTCTCAAGAAAATTGAGCGATACAGGTTCTTGGCCCAGGACTTCGCAGATAGCCTTGAACCCTCCCCTGATTGCCCAGTGAAGACTTTCCGAGGTTAACGATATGTAGTGAATCATGGAAAGCTTGTCGCTAAAAGACTGTAGCAATGCATCACAAGCTCTCTGCGAGGCATCGAACGAGCCAAAGACGTAGATCTCAGCCTTGGAGGGGATGCATTGAAACGCCACTTTATGCTGTTCCTCGATGGGTCGAAGCCGTCGATTTGCCAGTGACTTATTGTTGAAAGATGGACTCCAGAGGGGCTTCTTGCCTCCAGCATCGTACACTAAGCGTCCTTCGAGGAGCCTGCCTGCGTGAGTCTTAGCTGCCGCGAGATCAACTCCCCTTTCACTCTCGAGTCTTAGTGTGACGTAGCCATTTGCCGATGGAAATCTTTTGGAGTTGACTCTTTTCGAGCGGAAGGTCTGAGCAGTTTTCTCGAAGTCTAGAAGAACCGCGCTGAAGATATGATTCGCGACCTTGTAGGTTGCAGAATGAAGTCTACTGATGCTGAGTTTGTCGTTCTTGTTGAATGGCAAGGGCTTAGAGTTAAGCAACCTAACCGCGGTCATAGCGTCTGCCTCATCTTGGAAACGAGCCATCGCCTTGACTCGTTTACTATCGGGGTCTGCATTCGCTGTGAGTCTCATCTCCAACGGTCCAATGTCCACGAGTAAAGCTTCAATCATGTCGACCTCGCCCTGGGTGTTGTCCAGGTCCTGCAGTCCCTCAAGCTTCACACCCGCGGGCCGCAGTTTTTGAGGGATCTTGCTAACAATGTCGCCCTTCGTAGCTTGCGGTGGAACGTACAGCCTCAATTTCGGTGACGACTGTGCTGCGTATCGCACTCCCAAGCTGCTCCCCCGTCGATGATGTAGTGCGTCCAACCTTGGAGCACAAGAAACCTTCGCTCCCAGCACAGTGTAAACCCCAGTCCAAAAGTTGCTGCGGACTTCACCTTTCCACAGAATCGGAGCCAAATGTTAAGCAAGCCAGTTGCTTTGGTTTGTGCCAGGAGCAAATGACTTTCTTGCGATTCGCCCTGTGGGTAAATCCCTTGTTGGTATTGAGATTTAGGGGCTTGTGCACTTCGGCCTTCAATCTGGGTATTCCAGATGTCTCTTCGATATTAGGATCCCTGAACTTTTCGTAGAGAGATTGCGCAAAGCCAGGGTCTTCTACCCGGATAATAGCGCACATCAAGCCCCTAAGCCTTGTGGTCTTACGCGAACGGTGGTACTTGCAATCTCGAACCCCAATCGACTTATGAGTCGCGATACTGCTGCAACATCGCTTCGAGCGGGTCGGTCGAGAATACTGGCCGTAGAAAAGTCGGAGAAGAGCGAGACATTCTGGACGGATGCGCCTGAGCCAAAATCTACCCAGGCACCTAGTAGCTCTCGCCTGCACTTCGCTTGCGGTTCGGAAGGCTAGAAGTAGTTGGAATCAGCACCTATCATCACTGTAGTTGCTTGATGAATCCAAGGTTCTACATACCGCAACCTCACTTGCTACTGTCCCTGTCTCTCTCGGTATCTCAGTGTGAGAAAAAGCGCAGTCGACGCCATTCCTACAATGCTCCTTTGCCAAAAAGACGCAGGCGATCTTGCAGCGAGGGTCTTCCACTCCTAATCCACTAGGCTCTAGGGTTTTAGCACAGACTCGTCAGACGGCATGGATTGAAAGATGTGAGGGAACGCGCATTCATCGCCTCTAGAGCAGAAGCCTCTTGCAAAGAACTTGCAGATGATTGACGAAAGGGCCGGCTCGGCCGTGCCGGAACCAGGCGAATTTATGGGCCCTTCATGAATGAACGGGCACTCAGACCCCGAGCGGCAATATCCTTTGAGATCAAATCGGCATCTAACGGCTGACGATGGTGCTGCCGCTCGTGTTCTAACTTCCAACCAGCTCGCCGTCGTAAAAGATTTGCTCAGGCAAATAGTAGCTGCTAGAGTAAAGTTCTAGGGGAAATCAAACTGCTGGACGACTGGCCGATGTAGGGTTTTTGTTTAAGCCACAGCGGAGCGGTAAAAGTTGAGGGATTCACATGATTCTGAGCGAGAAGTGCGGATTAGGTATACGTCGTAAACAGCAGACTCCTCCTCGGAATGCTTGAAGAGGGGTAATCTCAGGACAACCAGTGAAAAAGCCAGGTGAAAATCTCAGCGCAGCCTTGATGCAGCAACAAGGCAAATGCAGGAGGCCAACCACGATATTAGATTTCGGCAAATCATGTGTGGCTACACTTCTTTGCTGTACGGTCGGGCACAATAGGGCATTGCCAATACAGCTACTGACATCAAACCCGTCTCCAATTCTGCAGTTGACGATGGCCTTGGAAGAATATGAGTATTGCTACGATATGGTACCTATCCAAAGTACTATCAAGATCTTCTTCGACCTAAACAACTCACTCTTTCAAGTTACAGAGTTCACAAACAGGACCAGTAAATGAACGAAAGTTATTGAAATTGATCTTCTGAGAGGAAGTCGCTTCTGCCAGCTCGTGGGTTGGGGATGTATGTTGCACGCCTTCCAAGACGATCATCAATCCATTAGGACTTTGAAGCAGACTGGAGAAAGTTGTCTATCATGAGCTCAATATTGACCTGCCCATACCTTTCTTCTTCGATAAAAACATTCGCACCCTTCAACGCGTCTGTAACTTCTGTCCTCGGTATGCCGAAGACTTCGACAAATTTGCGAATCATTGAGGTCCTAGTAGCGTACCAATCCTTGTAGAATGGCCCAGCCAAGCGTTCAGTGGTCCCATGATTGTATTCGTGCTCGGTCCAAGTAATATAAATAGCCAGGGAAAACCTGATTACTTGTGCAGGATCTGGCCAATCTATGTCTAGAACAGTGTTCTGGTAGAAGCAATCGCGTTTGTAATCCACTTGGTGGCCATGCTGTTCGATAATACGTGAGACCTGCTGCACGACGACACGTTGGATCGGGTTATCATACCTTGACTTGCGCCTTCTCTTTCACATGTTTCGTGTCTGATCTGCTTTCTTTCTCAACCAGGCTGTTAAGCCTGCTCTTCATCTGACTAAGCCAGTCGTTGAGCAGGTGGTCAAAGTCCGTGGCACTCAATTCTTCCATCTCGCTTTCCAAGATGTCAAGAAACTCTGACTCTTCGTCGAGTATAGCGTCGATTTCCTCGCCCTGAGGCCAGAGTGGTCGAAACGAATCAACAAAACTATTGAGTCCTTCCGTTGGATGACGCTGAAAGCAAAGGTGGGACATTCCAAGCTCCTCATGCTTCTCCCACCGAAGGAAAGAGAGCAATAAGTCTTTCCCTTCTTGCGCTCCTCTGTATTCCAATGCGAGGCACAAAAGCTCCATTGCCACGATAGGAGATTTACCCCATGTTCTTTGCCACCAAAAGCCGGAAGAATTCAGCAAGTCAACAGCCGAGAGTCGGCCAAGGGATGAGCAAGGGCATTTGCAGCCATCTGTAGTGAAGACTTTCGCGCCGTGGGCTACCAGTATTCGCACAGTCTCCATAGCAATCCAGAAGCCGTGCCTTTGGCTGTTTTGCACCTGACCAAGAGCAAAGTGTAGTGCCGTTCGATGATGTAAATCCTGGAGGTTAACGTCAGCTCCGATTTCAACCAGCCTTTTCACCAAGTCAGGTTTACTAGACTTGGCGGCGACCATCAGAGGAGTTTGACCATCGCTATTCATGTGGTTGAATAGCTTGAAACCATTTTCCAGTAAAGCCTCGAGATCAGTGACGCCGGTGTCATAATGTAGGAGACAATTGTTTTTAGTTTCGGAAGTCGTATCATCGAAAGTGAAGTTGGCCGTACTACACTTCATCAAGAGCTGATGAAGAGAAATTTCGCGTTTTTCATGATTGTCAGGGTACGAAACATGATACAATAAGACTGCGTCTGCCGCCCAGCTCTCGACAATTCTTGTATCGGCAAAGTCTTCCAGTCGAACAAGAAATTTGAAGATCAGCATCCAATGACTACGAACGGCGGCGTAGTGTAGAAAATCGCGTCTGTACTCGGTGTCGACTGCGTTGACGTCAGCTCCCGCTTCAATAAGCAGGGCGACGGACTCTTCCTGATTTTCCGCAGCAGCGTACATTAGAGGTGTGATGCCATGTATGTCAGTCATGTTGACGTTATGTCCCGACTTGATGAGTGCTTTCAAGGTGTGAGGGTCTAAAACAGCCAGGTGAAGGGGTGTCTGCCCGAGGCTATTCTTCTCGTCTTTTCTAGACTTAGAGATCCAATTGGCTACTATTTCTGTTGACTCGAGTAGTATAGCTTCGTGGAGGGCTGTCATTCCAGCGAATCCTGCGTAGCATATGTTAGGACCCATCCAACGTCATTTTTCTTGCTACTCCTCGTAGAACCTAAGTCAGCCGGTTGTTGAGCTTACCTTGGTTGTGTTCGCACACAATTCGGAAGTACTCAATGAAGAATGGGTCAGGTGTAAGTCGTTCTGAGATCCAGTTCGGCGATGATAGCGCCGGCCAGTCACAGAAGTCCCCAACAACTCCGGAGATGCCGTAACCCAGATCGATAAGGATTTCCAACAAGTCCAAATGAGGACCTTCGCCAATCCACTCTGCGCATTTTACCAGGAATCTGTAATGTCGAATCAGTGTTTTGGCCATTTCACCCCCTAGTCCGCGAGTCTGACTTACGCCGCACTGTCAGTCCCTTTAGTCATTTTGAAGTCCTGCATGAAGAGTCCTAGTAGTTTCCATTGAGTCTGTTTCTTTCCAAATCCCCAAGGGTACCTCAGAAGCTCCTATAGCCATAATATGTTAGGACAACGCCGTAACTTAGATTCTTGCAAACCTACCTCGATATAAGACATCCCACCTGGATTCACGTGGTGTCTGAAACCTTGCGGATCTGCTCTGTAGAGCTGCATCAGGCCTTCGCTAGCCTCTTCAAACTCAATCCTGTAATTCTGGCACCTCCATATGATTTCGAAACCTGGAGACGTGTACGGCACAATTTGCTCCATTTCGAGATTCGGACGAAATGAGAATCTGCCTGCGGATGTGATAGCATAGACCTCAAGCACTGCTGCCCACCTGATGCCAAATTGCGAGAACGCAAGCCTCACTGAAGCTCCGTATTTCGTCATGTTGCAGGTTTCCAGATCGCAGCTCTCCTGAAAAGCACCCCAAGGCGTATACTCAAGAGCCCAGAAGCGACGTGTCGTCCTGTTCTTGCGATGGCAAACACAAGAGCATTGTCTCAGAAGACAATTTCGCTCGGGTCTGGCCCTTAATTGCCGTCTTCTTAACGCTATGCCAACTGAGGCGGCAGGAGACTGTACTAAGTCTGAAGCAATAGCCGGAACCAACTCTGAGGCTGGCTCTTGCGTAGGATTTGTTGTTGATGGCGAGGCGTGAATCTGGCTAACTAGAGTCAGCTCTCTCAGCTGGTTCGAGTTCCTGTACGTGGTGATCCTGAGAGTAGCTGAATATTAGCTAAGCAAACAAAGGTTGAAGCGCCTTCAAAGCATCGAAATACGCACAGAATCAAATTGATCTTCGCTCCCTGGATACTTCGCTGCAGGGCTGTCACATGTTCTGTCCAGTCCCGGAAAGCAAGGAACTTGAGCGCGTTGGCCTTCGTACTTCTCGATGGTGGCGGGATTCTCGCGATCAACGACTTCAACTCTCGAACGATTTGATCGCAGTCCGCATGGCAATGTTGAAGAACAGAATCATCACGATCAGAAGCATGCACAATTACATCCTGCATAACATGTTTCAAGAGATCCAGTTCTCGGATGAGGGTGCTGATGTCGGCCGCGGCCTTGCCCGCACAGGCGCGGATACTTCGCAGCTTGCTGACGCCCTCACTGATCTGTACCAAGAGAGACACAAAACCTGCCACACCAGCGGCGACGCCAAAGAGTTCGGCCATGTTTTGAGACGACACGTGGGATGAAGAGAAAACACACTTCCGGGACCATGTCAGCGTGAGAGAGAATCTTGCTTTAAATTGGTGAAACCTTTGTGGGGAGAACGAGGGGCGAAGTCAGGCAAGATCCAAAATCAGGCTCTGCGGTAGTTCGCCTTTGGGTTCGCCCTGTGTGCTGCGCCTTCATGGGAACCAATGGAGGTCCCCAAGCCAATCGCATGTTCCTCATGTCTCTGCACTTCTGACCAACATAGAATATTAAGGCGCCGTCGAGCGTTCGCAAATGATTGGCTGGAAACTCGTAGAGTACCCAGAACCTCTTGAAATCCCAGTGAAAGCGCTTATCGGTTTCCGTTGGCTCCTAGCCGGTCGCGGACATCAGCGTTCCAAGCAAAAGCGTGCATCGAAAATGAAGGACTTGAGAAGAATTGGAATCTTTGAGGAAGTACGACGCACATGCCCGTTCTTCTCATCTTCAGGTCTGGACTCTCTCAAAAACATCAACACATTGATTTGAAGATGGGAGCCGCCTAGAAAAGGAAGCTGGTCGCGATTTGAGGCATCCAGGAAATATTTCCGCCAGCGGCTCCGGGTGAGCCCGTTGAGGAGGTCGAATCTGTGGAAACATTGTGGGACATACGGCACCGGCCTGATCTCAGTGGAGTCCCGTCGTTCACGGAAGTCAACATCGTGATGTTAGCTTCTTCTCTTTCTCAAAAAAACAAGTATTCAAGAAAAAGAGGATATCTAAATATTCATGGAGCTGTGGTGCTCTATAGTGATACGCTATTCGTATACCTTCATGATATGATTGTCCTCTTCACTATGCCTGACCCGTAGATCTGTCACTCACTCCTCAACCCCAGAGATCGCAGGCCGGACCGTTGAACCCTTATGAGGCCTAGTCTCTTTGGCAAGTGGCTGGATCACGCCCACAACCGGGCGGTCCCCGATTCGCACGATCCTCAAGCTCCAAACCCTCTTCGCGAGAACTGATTGCCGCTCGCGTCAGGAGTCGTGTGGGAGAGGCAAAAGCAACAGTAGGGGCCTAAGAAATGTTGATTAGCACGACTCGGACGGATTCCAGCGGTGAATATTTTGCAGTAGGCAGCTCATAAAGGATCAATACCATTGCTACCAGAGCGAATGCTAAATTCCTAGGAAGACCCAGTCCCAGGGCTGCGACGCTCTCAAGGGCGATGGCACTAGCAAGGAGGAGGGCTTGAAGCTGCATTGTTGCCTTAATTTATTTTTGTATATCGGATAGGTTTGTCAAACTTGGGTCAAGTAACAGTCAACTGAAAACTGGTGGGAACCTGGAAATGCGAACGTTCGGACACGACTTCTAAACCAAGGCGGGAGTACCCTAAGTCTTATGAAGACCACCCTCCAGAGTCCAAGTCAGTGATGCCGACGAAACCTCTTCGTGTTTCTCAAGAGCCTCGCCCAACTTACTCGCGATATCTCAGAGGCCCAGATAGAGTAGTTCTAAGCAAAGGGTATCGTTCGTATGTACGTTCGATTAAACTTTCCCTCAGCGCGCGTTGATTCGGTATCTATTGCTCTTCAAGCCTGAGCCACGGTCTCTTTGCTTGAGTGCACTGTCCACTCAGCGCCTTTAGAGCTTCCGATGAAGCTTAAATCATAAAACCTGCAGAGTCAGAAACGCTAGCGCCCACCAGGATGAAACCAGACTCCGGAAATATTCTAGTTTTGCCTTGACTCAACATATCGCCGTACCGGTGTTTGGAGAGGAATCAGCAGAGAGACACGTAAGAGGTGCTTGGCACCCAGGACGAGGCATCGATTGCTGCAGGTATTGTGAGCCCACCCGAGATCTCAGCATCGGTGTCGGTAACTTCACTCGGGCGTAAATAGCTGCCGAAGCCGGCGATCATTGTAACAATAGGCTCGATAATGAACCATTGAATGACCAGGCAGCCATTCCAGCTTTGAGTCTTTCGTTCTTCTGTAGCACACTCTCTTGAGCATTGGGAAATGTAATTGCGTGCAAGATTACCCGTCGACTTCGAACCTGATGATAATGTCATAGACTTCTGAACATTCAAGCAATATCTTCCTTCGCCTTCAAATTATCTACTCAATCTTAGAACCAGGTACGAGTTTCTTCTCACACTCTTTCTCCCAGACCGGAAAGGAGTTCTCTAGTCCAGAAGTCACGAGCGTTCTCTCAATAATAGTTCCACTAGCTTTGTCCATGGCCTGCCAACAAGATTGCTATCTGAACCCGTTCCGCCTCCAGATCTGCAAATTTACTAATGATCAGGTCAATCATTGTTTCCATCCACACAATTCTTATGAGATTTGAACTATTAGCGAAACTGGCAAGTTATCAATACTGACAATCAACGTAACAAAACGTTTGGAAAACAGTAGCCTGCTGTGGGGCTTTCCCATGGCTCATACTTTAAACGGAAAAGGTAAGATCGACTTTGTTACCCTTTATCTCTCATCTATCCCAAGTGACATCCTTCCAAGTTTCAAACTTTTGCCTTCGTCCCGCCAACAAGAACGATAGACCTTTCAATTTCAAACGGCTCTCCGCCGTACTTCTTTCCCAAATACTCAACAATGACAGGCTTCAACTTATGCCTTAACTTCTCCTTTTGTTCCTCAGACCAGTATCTCTCAACGGTGCCCGTAAGCAGCGCCTGAAAAATAGTGCAGAATTGCTCAGGATCTCTGAACGTAATGGGCTTGGCCACAATCTCCGACTTGATTTCAGTCAATCCGGAGGCATTGTACATTGCGGCCGCGAAGTAAGGATCATCCCATGCGCCGGGTGACCAGAGCCCAGTCAGATGGCATGACTTTTGCGGCCAGGGAACTGGCTGCTGCCCGGGAATGCCAAAGTTTGCGACGGCGTCGCGGGTATCGCAGACCCAACCTTCCGTTGCCCATGTCGAGCTTGCGATACGGCCGCCCGGCTTGAGGACGCGGTAAAGTTCTGCTCTTATGTCAGCGAAAGGCGAGAGAACAGTATTACCCGTCGGCAATCTGGTGTTCTTAGAATCCAGGCGACGATGGTTTACATACCTGCTAGGCCCGCGTAGGGTTCAGCGACGACCATTAATGCCATGCCAACGACGATAAAGTCAAAGCTATTCGACTCGAATGGTAGTCTCTGCTGCAGTCAGTGAAGAGTCCATTGTTTCAGAGATCAGCTAAGTCCAAGGGGGCTCTAAGCTACACATGTTGGGAGGGAACCTATTACGTACCGCAACATCAGCCTGGACTACCGTTGTATCCATCCAGCCATCCTTCTTAACTCGACCCCTGACATGCTCAATCTGACCACCACTAGAATCAGAACAGGTCAACCTCACAAGCCCCTTCCCGCCCTTCCCCGTCGCCTTCAGCATCTCGTGAATGCGGGCGGAAACCACACCCGCACCACAGCACATATCAAGGACCTCGATGGGCTCATCGAGCGAAGCAATCTTGCTCTTTGTCAGACCGCAATAGTCCAGCAGCGGCTGCGTGATCGGTGCAGTGATGTACTCGGTGTTGCGGTAGATGTTCCCGACCTTGGGGTTTCGCCAGAACGTGGTGTGGTTGGCTCTGTCTCCCGCGGGGCTCAGGGCCGCGGGGTTGAGGAAGAGTTTGGATTGGCCGGGTGTTCCCTGGCTTGAGTGGGTGTAGGATGCCATGGCGGTTTTGGTCAATTCTATAGATCGGGATGCAATCGGAATAGAATTCACTTGTAATCTTTATGACAGATGCAAAGTGGCAGGTTGGAAACCGCGTTTGCTCTGGTAGTAAGATTAGCCCAAAGAGCAACAATTTATATAATTGCTCTTCGTCCGTGCCATTGCGTATTTTTATATATTATTTAAGAGGTGTTCTTGGTACCGAGAGCGAAGCTAAAGGGGCGAGAATGCATTTGAGATTACTTTGCATGTGCAATGCAAACCCCACGAATGGAGAAAGATGATAGCTCCCACTTCACGCAACTAGGCTCAAGATTGATAGAGATAGGCGGAACCGAATCCTACTCGCGAAGGCAAAATCTAGTCTGCTCGAACACGAAGCTAAAGTCCGATGGCCGTATGGCGCGTCAAATCTCTGATCGGAGGAGAATACTGATCAGACCAGGATTCCAATCATAGGCCCAGCACGGCTTCGTGTCTACAGATGATGGGACGAGGATGGGCTGATGTGACAATATTCCGAGTGCGTTTAACAACTTTCTTCCATGGCAGGACATATCGCTCCGGAACGCATGTGCACTTGAATATTCCTATCCGCCCTCTCGGCGACTTCCTTTGGTTGCCATCAAGCATGTGTCAGGCCCTAATTTCAATAAGCTATCGGGTTGTGAGAAGGAAGACCTGAGAGGGTAACCAACTCACCGTGGGAGTAAGTTTTGTTTTAAGCACGTGAGTTTAAGCTTAAGTGGAGTTTGAGTAAGCCCCCGCTGGGATGCGAAGATTATTGGGAAGTCGAGGATTGAGGGGCGCTTGGGATCAGTGAGAGTTACTTGGACCCGTTCCGACGGCGTTTCCATACGGGACCGCCGATTATCAAGAACCCGCTCCGTGGTCCGGTGGCGCTGTGGAGCAACCCCTCGGACAACATTGCGGCTGGTTTCTGGTGAGTTTCATTCAGTCTTGTCGCTCATGGAAGCGAGCGCGTACGTTCCGAGGTGTGCGGCGTTGCTCTTGGCTTTGTGGAGGCAGTGTGCCAGTCAAATGTATTTTCTCGGGATAACTATCAGAATATAATGGAATTTTCACATTAAGCTCCCCAATATCCATGATTTACTTGCTATTGGCGAAATTTAAGATGCGTGTTTGCACTGACCGAGGGAATGAAATACTTGTCCAGACACTAGAAACATGTCTTCGACATTGCCCGGCTCCTAGTAAGTAACCATCCGCTGTACTTCCCGTTACCTCCCGTGGCATGGTCCCGAGATGCCAGCTGGAAGTATGTCGGCAACTCAGTCTCTGGACGACAGAAAATTCGTTCGATCAGTAACCAGGGCTGTCCAGTCAAAAGAACAGGCTGACGAGAGTCCCGGACATTGGTGGGCTTTACTTCCCGTCATTTACTATTGTTACAGGACCCATGCTTGGGAAGTACAAACCTCCACGGGGCTTCCTTATACGAAGCACTTCAATATAAGTTGAGACATCGTGAAACTATAGTGAGTGAGTCTGCACATACGGTGGGGGCTCGCTTGAGTTGGACTATATCTCCACATGTATTGAATAAGGCAGTAAACACCATGAGGCGTGGACAAGTGTCAAGTCTTGAATATCCAAGAAGCAATAATTTCTCGGCGACGAGTACAAGCTCTGCCCACTGGACGATGATGCGCTCTCAAGGACAAACGCGCACGCTCGCTGCCTACATACTATGCAGCTGAGAATAGCCTCGCCAGGAAACTGGCCCCCACGACATTGTAAGGAAACAAGCACATGACCAACCCCCAAACCCAATCCAAAAATAAACCACAAATGATCGAGACAAGACTTCCTCACTCTATTGACGTCATATTCCCAAGGTAAGGGCAAAAATAAAAACGTGGCAAGGTAAAGCAAGGAAGGGTAAGGTGAGTTAGACACTAGTAGGGAGGGTAGCAAGGTCACTCGACACCACCGCACCAGGGCAAAGATACAAGCAAGCCACCTGACACTGTCAGACGGTTGGGCTGTACCCAAAACGTGAACTTACCGAGAAACCGAGACCGTCACGATACCGACATCACGTTGTCGCGCGAAATACCAAACGGATCAGATAAACGGGTGCGGAATCGACGTTTTCGATGCGTGCACGCGGCTGTTTCTTCACTGTGTTTCTTACCTTGCTGTCTTTCTTAAACACGCGTATCCCTGGGACATTAATTATTTGAGGCCATGCGCCGACCGAGAGTCATATTTATCGTGGAACAAACGTGTCTGCAGACCGATACAAGTAAACGGCAAGACAGAATGATCGCTTATAATTGGGTACGCGCGCGCGTGTTCGCACAAGCGAAGAGGGAGCAGGTCAGGTAACTGAGAAAACGGATTAGAACTCATGATACAATTGTATGTACACTTGATGGACATATATACAGTGCCCGCCGTCCTTGGCCGCCCTGCATGCTAGTCCAAGCCTCTTCTACGATCCCTTGCCACCAAGGCCCGCACGCGTGCGGCGTCGGGCTGCGGCTTCTGAATACGGCACGCTGATTCTTCGGGAGTCCTCCTACTGATACTACTATTGCTAATGCCCTTTGCGGGGCTGGCGTCACGACGGCGGAGGAGATGGGGTATCTTTGGTGAGGACGCGCGGAAAGATTGGGGTATCGAACGGAAAGGAGATTTGCTGTCAAGGTAAGACGCCGCCGTTGTTATTTCTGGTTTGGGTGTTGGTGTTTCTGAAGACTCCATCACGTCGTCGTAGAGGTCGAAGGGAAGCTGGGTTGTTGAAAACTCTTCTTCGCAGTCGTCTTCTTCAATGGCGCTGTCGGTGTAGCTAGGTTGCTCCTCCTCCACAGTAGAATCACGCGTCAAACGGTGCTCTTCTAGATCAGAGACGGACGTCGACAGAGAGTCGGGATCTTCCGACTGTGAGGTATCTTCTTCCTCTTCGTCGTCTTCGTTGTCAAGACACTGAAGCCGTCTTTCTTCGAGTCGACCGGACTCTGATCCAGAGAAGGATAATGTTCGCGCCGGCGTGAGGTTGTGGAGGTGGTAGCTGTGATCGTGGTCATGATCGATCGGTGACGATACGGAGGTATCGGAATGCATCGTCATGGAGCGAGGGGAGGGAGGGAGGTCTGTGGTGATGGCTGAGGAAGAGATAGAAGTCGAAATGTGAAAGGGCTCATGCGTCATAATGGGCTTGTCGTCATCATCATCGTGAAAGAAACAGGGACCGTCGTCGAGACTGCTAAGGTTTGTGCTCGCCGTGCGAGAGCTGCATCGATCACTGAACGAAGTGCCGGTGGAGGATGCATAGTAGCCTTGCGCGCATGAATAGTCGTCGGGGAGGTAGCTTGAGAACAGTCGCACCAGGGAGTCGAGCGAGCGTGTTCGGAAGAGCTGCAGAGCATACGACCACTGCGCCGTGCCGACGAGCTTGGGGTTCGCAATGATCTCGACAGCAGCGAGATCAAGCGACATGTTAAGTTCTTTCAAGCGTTGTTCCCTGCGATCGGCCATGAGGCGATGGAACTCGTCGGCGGTGTCGGCGATGTGGGAGATCTCGCAGACATCGTTGTGAAAAGCGTCGGGGTCCTGGATACTGGAAGGAATGGTGTTGTATTGGTCTTGCAGTTTGGTGGAGAGATCATCTCTCTTCATCCCAAACTTCCAGAAAGGCCAAGCACAACCCGGTTCGTCCATGTTAGGGCGAGACCGTACTGAGGAGGATAGTCGACGAAGCGAAGTAGTTGTCGATTGGTAGTAGAGGGAGTCGGAGTGGAGAGAAGAGTCGGTTCAGGTAGTTTGGAGGAAGGGAATGAAGGGTGGCTGGTGAGGCCGGTGGCTTCGGTTTGCTCGATGGAAGAAATGGTTGTTTTTTAGTGACGACATGAAGAACATTTAGATGCAACTGCAAAGGGTATCCATTGTGAATATTCAGGTGTCCGTGAGGAGCGAAAGGTGAATGTTGGGGTTGTTGATGGGCTCGTTGGTGATGAGGATGGACGGTTTCAGGGCGTGGGGACACCGAGGAGAGCGGGAATGAGTTGGTCGGGGGGGTGCCCGGACGCAATGTGCGTGAAGCCAGAGTCGGACGAACTTCACGCCGATTCAAAACATCGCCAAAAGTCACGTGCAGCCGGAGAGAATTGCAAAGATGACGGGAAAGTGCAAGGGACGCGGAGGCGCTAGCGGCACACTAAGCTACACTAGCGCCAACAGGAGGCCCTACGACTAGGGGGATACCCCTGCCGTATCCGACGAAATCGGAACACGAGGGCAGGGCTGGCCTGGTTTTTCAAGACTCCGCCACTCTAGCGAGCCAATGGAATCAGAGGGAATGATGCACCGTAGCATGGTGTTTTCAGTCCCAGCCAATGACGTTGCTCACTAAGACTGCAAGCGTCAGAGCTGGTCCACTCACGCAAACCACGAGACAACATTTCTCAAATGGGTTGGCCCGGGCGCAGGCAGTGAACCACAGCCAGGCTCTGCTCTCACTCACTCACTTTTCCCGCACTCTCCGTCTGGCTCGGAGCGTGAGTGTGAGTCTACAGTCGGGCTCTTAGGTTTCCATTTCGGTGACGACAGAGAGAGCCTGCTTCTGTTGCAGCGTGAAGATGGTGGGACAAGGAGGGAGAGTTAGTTGGACCAGGATGACAAGAGTCGGCAACAGAAATCCAACAGGATGGCTCAGTCATCAAGCCTTGCTCCCACAGCCAATCACCGCGTGCCTCCCCCATTGTTGGCCGTTCTCACTCATTCGAGGCACTTTTCGACTCATCAAGATTCATCGAAACCCACTCATTTCGCAGTGTCATTGCCTCATCCCGACTTGCTTGCAATGTTCGATACTCTCATGGTTTGCGACCAGTCTTCAGTCAGCCTGACACCTCAGTCTGGATCTCCCGACAAACTGCTTCATAAGAAACCTCTTCCGCACCTGTCCCAGTCACGGCCGGAAGGCTGTCTCTGTTTCTCCAGTTCTCATCTCATTCGCCTTGACGCGTGAATACGGACAGGTCAAGTGACTTTGTCCCGTTCATCCTCATTGCGTCAGGTTATGGTCAACTGTCAGAGGCCTGGCGGGCACTGCGAGACCTGCAGACTGTCGTCTCACTCACAATGATCTTCTCACCTTCTACTCAGTACAGCGTGCGCCGTTCGGACCGTTGAATGAGAGGCGCTGTTGTGGCTGAGAGATAGTCAACGTTCCGATTTGGCTTGATGAGCGACGAAGCGCTGTCGTTCGAAGGCAAAGTCACTTTCTACGCTACATCTGCCGATGGGATACCTTTGCCCCTCTGCAGACCAGGGCTGACGCCGTGTCAGATCTCAAATGAGAAAGATCTCTCCCCTCTGGGCCTCCAGCGCCATGCTCGGTTGGAAGCCCTGTACCTAGCCCGGCCAGCCCATCATTTCAGTCGATTTCCCTCTTCCCCTCACCTCTTCTCCAAGACCAAGGCCAACCGGCCCCAGGCACCAGTCTCGTTCCACAGGGTTCGATGACTCTTTAAACCTAGGGATATGCGCGCGTTCCAAACTCATCTTCCATACTCAGTGCGTATGTTTCGTCCCTAGTTGCGGCCACACACAAAGATATTGCTGAATGTGCTGATGCTGAGCGAATCTCACTCAAACACTCAAGTTGCTGCTAGAGCAGCGTAATCTTACAATTAGTATCTTTGCCCTGCTGGTCGACCGATAAACTACTTGAGGCTGAGACTCCATCAGCAGGCCCTCCCATAAGGTCCCAAGGTCCCTCCCCCCGTCAGATCAAGTCAGCTCAACCCCATTCACTCCCCGTTTATCCCGTTCCCCGCCGTCGTCTGCTCTCCAGTTGACATTTGGCTCATCTGTCCATTTGTTCATCTGACGTCGAGTTCTGTCCGTCTGCCCTTCTCCAACACTCCAACAAAACAGCTTGTTGGCAGTGCTCAGGAGTCACATTAATGCCGTGCTGTTCCTGCATCTGTACCTGGCAGAGAAACTGTTTCTCTCCTCCTGTTCCTTTTCCCTTTTCCCCATTCATAAATCACGCCTCGGCCAACCTACAGACCGCTGCACTCTAAACCCTGCTCATCGCAAAAGATCTAACCACGCTCACCCTGCCGCGCACCGTCTCACTCTCACTCAACTCGCCTGTCTGCCTGGCCATACCAGGATAGACGACATCTTACCTCACACCAACCTTACGTGTCCAAGCCAACCCATCCCGGCCAGACTCACTCACCTCATTGCCACTGCGACGACAACGACGACTCACACCTCCCACCACACGACCCGCCGTCAGGAGTGCCTGGCGCCGTTCCAGAGTCCATCTCCCCGTAAGGTATCCGTGGCTGCCGAGCCGTCATCGCAAGTCGAACCACGCATGGGCCACGGGAGGCTAGGCAACATCGTCATCCCTTCCCTCGCTTGATGGGAGACCGCCGGGTCCGCGGCTCCGAGGAGCCGTCGGAAGAAAAGACAGAACCATTCTCTCAATCTGAAATCGATGCCCGCATGAGAAACATTCGCGTAGAGGAACCCTTTGACCTCATCTCGGGCGACCCCGTGCCGCTCGACAAGCTGAGGGTCGAGGAGCATCACCACAAGCAGGGCATCCGCATCCTCGTCCGACCCCTCACCCGGAGCCGCTCGGTGAGCCCGGGCAACTACAACTGCCAGTGGCTCGCCCTCCGCGCTGAGGTTGCCTCTGAGCAGGAACCTCAGCACAAGGTGCTCGCCGTCTCCCAGACGTCCCGGGACATCAAGTTCTCTGTGCGCATTCCGCCGGAGCGGTTGGATGATAACACACCCCGCCCACCGCTGTGGTGCGAGCTCTACTATGATCCGACGAGCGATAACCAGATCCTGCTGAACAGATCCGAGGTGCCCATCTCATTAACGAGGATCTCTGACGGCCCCGGTTATTGCGCCAGCTGGGGAGTCAATCCGGGAGCCCCCAAGGCGCTGTCACCAGGCACATGGAGGATAAACGTCCGCGATGTCGAAGTGCTTGATTTCAGGATCTTGGAGAAGCGACCGGCCTACTTCAAACATGCTGATTCGGACATCAAAGACGAACTGCCCTCGAGCTCAAACTCAGACGCCCTCAACGCCTCTGGGAAGCGGTCGTTCACCGCCGACGATGGCGAGCTACGGTCCGAGAAGAAGGCTCGTACGATAGAGGAGGCTGGCATAGTGAAGAAGGAGAAGGAAGACGGCGTTATCATGTTCCTCAGACCACAAGCACAACCCCTCGTATTCCCCCTGCCCACAGAAGCCAAGGGCAGAGAGCTGGTAGCAACAAACGGCCACGCCCTACTGGACATGCAAAAGGACGAAACGGTTGTCATCCCCGGCGGCTGCGAGATCGACGAGTACACAGTCTCCAAGCGCGACCAAATCGCCTCCACCGCGCTCTCCTCCGTCTTCACCGCAGAGCACTCCAACGTCCCAGACGGCATCGTCACCGTCAAAGTCCTAAAGACCCGCACCGCCAACGCGAACGCCAACACTGCTTCAAAGCCCCAGGACAACAACGAGCGCAACGTGATCCGGCAGGCCGACATGTGGCTCCGCGAGTACCAGTCCCAAGACGACCTCCGCCACGAGTCCATCGTCAAGCTCTACGGCGGCGACGCCCGCTACCTTTCCCTCTACATGGAGCACGTTGACGCAAAGGACCTCAGCGCAAAGGGAGTCTGGCGATCCCAGCTGGACCACAGCTTCCTCGGCGACCGCGCCGACGCTTTCGCCATCGCGCGCGACATCAGCGGCGCCCTGCACTACCTTCACAGCAAGAACCTCGTCCACAACGACATCAAGCCTGCCAATATCCTCTACTCGCCCTCCCGCGGCGCCGTGCTTTGTGACTTCGGCCTGTCGACGCACACCAGCGGGCCCGTGACGACGGGTGGCACGCCGTACTACATCCCGCCCGAGTTCATCGGCAAGAAGCTCCGCGGCCCGCCGTCGGATGTTTGGGCGCTCGGCGTGACGATGCTCTACGTTCTCGGAAAGATCCCCTTCCCGGACGCGCGCTCGCGGAAGCAGGCTAAGCAGACGGCGCTGTACTGGATGATTGCCGATGTGAATCGGCCCCCGCCCCCGCCAAACCCGCAGCAGAGGGGTCCCGCTCAGCCTTGCCCTGCTGTGGATCAAATGTACAAATGGCTGAGCGAGGTTGCGGTGGCAAGGGAGAAGCTGTACCCGCGCGACAAGCTTGAGCGGCTTGTTTCTGATATGTTGATACCGGCGCCGGCACAGCGCATCACCATGGCCCGCGTCGTGAGAGAGCTCTATGTCATGGAACAGCAAGCTCTCGCGAAGAGGTGATCGGGCCCGCTCACCAATACCTTTTTTCTTATGTTTTGGCATGGATTTAATCTGGATTATACGTTGTCGTTTGGATTGAGATAGACGTCACTGCCCCGGCAGTGCGCGCATGAAGCTGCATGATGTTTGCGAGAGATACCACTGATGTTGAGAAAGTAGCATGCACGGTTTTGAGTAAGTGCTTTTTAGTTGGTTTTCGGAATTCATGCCGGCCTCGTTCAGTAACATTGACGCAGGTCAGGTCGCATTGCATTTGGTCACATTGGTTCGCATCTCATATATACACACACATGTATCTGAGCATCGCATTTTTTGAGAAATTTCCTTTTCATTATCATATCGGTCATCCAGAGGATGAACTGGTATCAAGCATTCATGTACATTAGAAGCACAAACGCATATCTCATGCTGTCCCTTGACCGTGATGTATGTCTGATGAAGGCAGTACCCTCACCTGCTCGTGTCGTTCTCCGTGGCCAGTACATAGTCTTACAAGCTCATACCGAAGACGAAAGCCATGCTGAGTCCAACGACTGATGAGAGGGCGAGCATATGGGCTCCGCTACCCGCCGCGCCGCTGGAACCGCCACCGGTGGTGGAGTTGCTGGTGCTGTTCCCGCTGGTGCTGTTGGTTCCGTTGGCGCTCTGCTCCTGGATGGTGTGAACCGTCACGCCCTCGGTCTTGCACTGGTCCGAGGGGAGGGTGGTGGCGTTTGAAGTGAAGCGGATGTCAGCGCACTACATCATCTATCGCGTTAGCATTACGCCCTCTACTTAATCGTTCCTACAAAGGGACCTTCAAAGTACTTGATGCAGCAAGGGAGTAGTAAACATACGTTGTAGAGTCCAGACCCAGACTCGCCGACAGTCACGACCTGAATACTTCCCCTCTGACCATCCTTCGCAGGCGTCGGCAGCGCAAGCTTCTCAACGCAGAGGGTGCCGGAGCCGGTGGCGTTCCAGAACTGCGGGGTGAGGGTGATGTTGTGCGTCGTGACATTGCCGCCGGACTCGAGACCGAGGTTGATGAAGACGTAGGTCCAGTCGTGATGCAGGTCGAGCTCAATGGAGCCGCCGTCGAGGGGCCAGTCTGTGACGTTGCCTCTTCCGTAGGGGACGCCGGCACCTATTGAGGAAGTCAGCTTTTGTCACTTATCGCACTCATCTTACAAGGGGGGAGATGAAGCCGAGAGTGAGTGAGAGGCAGATATTTGGGGGGAAGGCATTACATGGGTAGGTCCACTGCGAGTAACCCGTCAGGTTCGTTCCGCTGAGGGTATCGGCGCGCCATGAGGGGTACGCGAGACCAAAATGAGCAGAGGCAAAGTTTGCGGCGCCGAGGGCGAGGAGGAGGGTCTTGGGGGCCATGATTGCAAGTGGTCTGAGATCGACAGAGGTTCTGACTTTGTACAGCGGGTCCAAGGGAGGTATCAACTACGGGGACGTACTGCCAAGAAGATGAAGAGGAGGATGGTTGGGGACATCACAGGCAACGTTCTGCGAGGCAAGCATTTATATAAACAAATCGACCTCCGCACGCAAGACCAGCAGCATACCTTAAATGGGTAGCTTATCCTTACCTTTGGGATGTCACGTAGACAGGGATTTGAGCTGTAAGCATCGTGGCAGGTAGGCTAAGGTAGGCCAGCTTCCGCGCGAAGGAAACTCCCTCACACGCCACAATGAGAGCGGGCTAGACTTCTTACGGCGCTGCCCTGTGGTGCGGCCTTATGGGAAATATCCCGCTGGCGGATATACTGTAAAACAACAGCAGCATCTCGAGGCCTCGGGCTGTCCTCATGGCGACAGGGAATAGAAAACACAAAAGCTTCGGACTCAAAGACCGAGAGGCGAGCAGTTCCGCAACGGGAAAGTAGACCAATGGAGGGCACCAATTGAGCAAGTTTATCTTCACTCAGGCAAGGTACCTGAGTCTAGCGAGCATCTGGCTGGGCCTTGAGTGAGATTACCAAAGAGCCAAAAAGGCGGCCCAGATGTTTCCTTCGTGGAAAACGGTCATTTGGCTGACTTGAAGTTGGGCGAGAGGCTCAAGACGGGAATGGTCCCCTTGTTTGGCCAGCGAATCAGAGCTGGTTGATGGCGGGGGCGGGGAAACGGCGGGCGCTAGCGCGGATGCAAGTATCTTGCTCAAACTCACGCACTCTCCCCCAGTTGTAGCTCCCGAATGGGCGCTCCTCACTCCTGGGGAGATGGCATGCACTGATTGGTCCAATTACATGAAGACCGGTGGTGGTTGTGGCGGTTGGAATGAATTGGGTTGTTTGTTGTCGAAGCAATCCGCTGTGTAAGGGCATTTTGTCAGCTGTTCTGGAGAAGACTTCGTGGCTTGAGTTGCCTGTCACGTGGATGAAAGTTGCCAAGGTCCAGACTAAGCAGATCCTGATGCATCTATTTCATTATCGATAACATTCCAAGAGTGATGGGGCATATTCAAAAAGCCTCTAACAGGTTATTTCGGATGAATTGTATCGGTGTTGAATATTGGTGAACCACCAAATCAGAAGTCGAGTTTAGTCACGAGAAAACTTCACTACAGGACTACATTATACTTACAATAAAAATTTATCGTGATCCTTAATGGACATAGTCTATATAGTCAAACCTAGGATTTCACGACAATAAATTTGTCTGAAGTCCCATGCCTCATATACAAGCCAGTACACATTCACTCACGTCTCACCTTTTGGACACCCAGAAACGCCGACTTGAGACATTGCTACTTATGCTTTGCAATATGAATTCATATGGTATTTATCAGAAGATGTAAGTGCACTGGTTGGAAGTATAGACAATATGAGACCAACCTTACTACAACTTGGGAAGCTGATTGAGAGACCACAGCCCAGTTTCATCCGTATACTGCTCCCCTCCAACAAACCCCCCAGAAACAGGCCCTCTCCCAGCCTGCCAAAAAGGAATCGTGACAAAAATATCCTTGCTCGTAATATTCGCCACAAACACCCCAGCGTCCCCCAAATCCCATCGCATAATCATCCCAGCAGGCGCAGGCGTACCAGGCACAAGCGGCCAAATCTGCCCCTCACCCCATCCCAGCGTATTATTCGCGCGGTCAACGCATCTTGAAGCAATCACGTGGCCATTTTCATAGGTCGCGAGGTACTCGGAGCTAATCTCGGTGCCGTCCTGGGCGTGCGAGTGCCACCAGACGACGGCGTAGGGTCCAAGACGGGCGTGGCCCCAAAAGGCGGCCTGGATTGCTTCCTGGAAGGGGCGGTCGACCCAGGTCTTATCGTGGTAGCCGTAGCCGGCGAAGGACATGGTCGTGTCCCCGAGTATGAGGTCGACTGTGGCTTCGGCGTCGGGGAGGGCGTTAGCCCAGGCTACGCCTTCGACATTTTTCTCGTTTACGCCGGCTGCGTCAGTGCCGCAGGTGTAGTGGGGGGCGACGGTCTGGAAACAGTCAGTATGTCAGTCTCTGGGCCATACACTTTGATAGGAGACGTGTACTCACGTTGCCTCGCAAGATGAGACTTCCATAAATACCGGTCTCGGGGGAGTTGATGGTGACGTTATACACCGGCCTCGGCTGCAGCAAGCTCGAGCCCGACCAGCTGACCTCGCTGCCGCCGAAAAAGTCGACGCGCATGCTCTTGTCCGCCCTCTCGGTGATGTTGGCGTACTCGGAGTTGACTCCGTAGCTAAAGGCCGTGCCGTTCGCAAAGGATCCGAACAGGGATACGTGATACTGCGTGGTGCCGACATCCGCGCCGTTGTCGGTCGGTCTCTGGATCTCAAAGTTGAAGACGACGGTCTCGTTGGTCGAAGGGTTCATGGCGTCAAAGTACCACCTGTGGGGTACTCGTATCAGTGACTTGTATGGCAGGAGGCAGCAGGGAGGTAAGCTGCACGTAGGGTCTGATGACGTACGAGTCAAAGGTAGTCGCGTTTGGGCCCGGGTCGATCTTGAAGAAGTCTGCTTCACCGAGAGCTTCTGTGGTGAATTGAACCTTGGTCGTGCCATTGTAGAAGTCCTTGCCAAGTTGGATGACTCGATCTCCGGTGTTCGTCTCAGCAGAGCAGGTGGATGCTGAAACGGCTGCTGCAGCGAGCATATAAGCTTTCGTATGCCTCATGCTGGGGTGTAATTGACGGTGAAGCGTGTGAAGATAGGGGCTCTTGAGACGATCGAGTGTTTCGTAGATTAACTGAGAGGTGTCGAGGATTGCTGTATGTTGCCTTATATAGAGCGATATAGACTGCCATCATTCAGAACTTTGCTGCGCCGAGAAAAGGGGAAACTCGGCTCAAGATCCTCTCGCGACTGCCCCCTTAACCAACTAAGCCGCGACCCTTCAGTAGAGGTAATTGAAGCTGACCAAGCTCCCCTGACATCGCATCACAAAAAGAAGCGACCGAAGGCTCCGGTGCAGAAGCCGCATCGAAAACCGCTCATGTGCTCACGATTCCCGCGTCTTTACGGATACAAGATATTGCAGTGTCGAGAGGTTTGTGGATTACGGCATCAACTTCGGTCTCGGTTCAACCCGTAATTCGACTCGCAGCTCGGTCTCGCTTTCGACGGTGGTGTTCGCTTTAGGGAGTATGTAGTTCGTCATTTCCCGTTCGTCATGCCCTTGTTGCCAAAGGAGCCCGAAGGACCCCGAGCACCGCAAGTTCCTATCTCCGGATGAAACCTCATTACGTGAGAGGTCGACGATGTGTCCGTCGGCGTCGGTCGAACCGTAGCCTTCGGATCCGGGGCCAGACTGTTTCCCCAGCCGCCCGTGTACCACTCCGGAAATTCTCCACTTCTCGGTGTAGACGTCATCATTGTCTGTTGTCGGTTCCCTGGCCCCAGCCGCCAAGATCGGAGGCAAGGACGCTGAGCTTTGACAAAACAAAGTTTGGCCCATCCCCGCTGCCGAGTCTATCTCGACCTCACTCGTAAACACTCCACCACACCTCTAGGCTGCGCTCACGAAGCTCGCGGCTTGCATGAGAAGATGCGATTTTCGACATCACCCGAGCACAACGCAGACAACAAGACGCGCAAAATCTCCCAAAGGAGCACAAGCTGAGTAAGCTTAACCAGCGTCGATGGTTTAGTGGTAAAATTCTCCGTTGCCATCAGGCAGCGTCGGGGAGCCGGGGGTTCGATTCCCCCTCGACGCAGCTTTTTTGAACCACCGCACGAATCCGTCTCCTTTTGGGTAGTATTTTACTCCTGGTAGCCCAATGACATTGCTGGACAGTCGACGCGCTTCACCCATCTTTGATACTCAATCGGCGCCTCCCTATATTTTATTGCGACGGAAACCAGTTTACGGGACACAACAACGTCAGATTCAGTGTCGCATCGGACCGAATGGCGTTGAAATAGTTATCGTTTTTCCCCAGACCGGACTGGGATGATTGGCTTCTTGGACAAGACCAGCCTTGGCGGTCAATAGTAAGAGTGTAAGATCTGGGGAGACTTCGGGAGCGTCTAAACAAAGCGTTGAAATACGGGCTAGCGCAACATCGTATCAGATCGTTGCGCTGCGCCGCGGTGGCATTCGCGAACCTGTACGAGCTATGATGTCGTCGGCGTGGATGGATGGCATCGTGAGATGAGACGTTAACCTTTGGCTGCGACGGTGCAAACGATGCGACATTTGGTTCCAAAACCACGGCAGTCAAAGGAAAGATATCTTGCCCGATTGACTCAACGTAAGGCGACCAATAATGGACCAACAATTGAGACCAGACGAAGGGTCACCGAAGATGTTGCATCATATGTGCCCTGATTTCCAGTGTTGAGAAATGGGCAACGGCGCGATTGGCATGAAATGGACGGGGAAAGTTGCGGCGGCCTCAAGTCACTCAGTATCTTTTCTTGCGCCATGTGGGGCTTTGCTCCAAGCGAGCGAGCCAATGGACCCGCCCAGAGAAATCCGCCCACCGTTCAGCCCCGTCGTGCCCGCATGGGTACATTGATGCTGACCATTACGATGCTGAACCAAAGTTCTTTTCATTTAGCAACACCATATACTCGTTTGATATCTTCGATGATATATCGAGTTGCGATATAAAATAGTTCAAAGCTATCTAAATTTTCAAGTAAAATTGCAGCTCACATGTGAAGCATATCGCGTAGTGTCAAGTGCTGCAGTTCTAACATTTAATCGGCGTTGCATGTCTCGCAGATTGACTATCCCTGCCTGCGATCAACGCACGGGCCACTGAGGCCAAAATCGCTGCGCCTTGGGACACCAGCACAGGCAACCACTCAGAAGAAGCGGGCCTGAGTCACTGAGGACTTCAAATCCCCAGGCATCCCTCGCGCATTTCGACTGTTGGACCTCTCTTTCTTCCTCATCCGCTCCGAATACCTTCATTCTCTACCTACCTCTTCTTACCTTACCCTTACCACCTTGCCATTGATCGCATTGAACTCAGCCGATTGATACAAGCTTTCAAGCTACCAAGCTCACCCCACGCCCCTGCCACAGTTGCAACATGCTCTAGTTGAATCAACGATCTACCCCACCGCCAATATGGCTCCTGACGCAGATCCACCGGTCCAAGACCGCTGGGACTTGCACGACTTCGATGGCGACCCTGATCGCTATCAATGCCTTTACAACATGTCAGACGAATTTGACTTGGATGCTTGGGCGACTCCTGATCCTCGGGTCACGACTTTGGTCGATACGGGAGACGCCTTTGCTTCGGAGATGGATATGAAACCTTCCACTCTGAACCTAGTCGAATTCGAGAATACGGACTCCCCTTTTGATGGAGGCAGCTCCGACGATGGAGGAAATCCACCACCACCACTGTTGACGTTCGGAAGACGCCGACGCCCACCTGTGCAGTTGTTACTTCGCAAGGTTAGTTAACGACTGAATACAAGACTCTTCTCTCATGACGAGAGGCTAACACCCAAACCTAGTCCCGCCATGCATTTAGTGCTTGTGGTGAATGTCGCGAAGACATGATTGCTTCTTGGTCCCTCTCTCTCTGGGAGGAATTCCCGAGCGTCCGGCTTTCGGAGCTTGCAACCATGGACGATATTTGCGTCCTAGATTTCCTTACTCCAGTCCCTGAGTGTCAAGATGATGCACTGATTGCATCTTTGGACACTACCAAGTCATTGGATCGGGTCTTCATTCGGAGACCAGACGATAGAATGACGCGGTTGTTGTCTGTTGCTGTCTAATTTGGGGAGGATGATGTTGGTTATTCGCACCGGTAAGCTCGCCGACGGCGCGTCGACAATCTCTCGCGACTTGCCTCTAACGCTTACCCCCAGGTTGGCCAAGGACCTGAGTACGTCGTAAAACTTCTCGATCGGCCATCTGAACTTGATAGCGCCCGTCCACAAGAATTCACACAAACGCAACCATTCGTAAACCAGCTAGCTCAGCAAATCGCCGAGTCAACCACCCTTTACCAATACGACCCCTATTATCAGCAACCTGCAACTCCTGAAACGGAGTTTTACGACCTGTCTGCTGCAACGATCACCGTTGGCAGACTTCCAAGCGAGAACACTACACACCACCCCGGGTTCCCCCCCTCAGTCGCAGTTATGGCGGTCACTACCACAGGCTGGCCCTACGGGGCCCAGCCGGTATGTGCTGCACCCGATGCCATGAACGACAGCATGTATCAGAACTCGCCTTTCTCCGAGCTCTTTGAGCTTTCGGACGAGGGCGACGATTGGGCAATGCTCATGCAGCAGGACATGCTCGCTACGGGCGACTACGACATGACAACCTTCGACCCTTCCACCATGGAACCAACTTACCAAAACACCCACTCTCCTCAGGAAATCTTCAACGACCCCGCCGTCCAGTTCGATGTCGCGCAGAGCCTAGGCCCCAATTTCTTTGACTTTAACAGCTCTCTGCCCGACCTCTCCACCTCTGGCTACCTCTCGGGCGACCAGGTCTCCTCCTATCTGGGCAGCACGAACACCTCCCCTTTCGAGCCTGTCCTCGACTTCTTCCCCGAAACCGACTCATTCTCCATGTTCCCGGCAAGCACCGACGGCTCGCCCCTCGACACAACTACCTCCTCCCCCGGATCAGACAACGCAAGCGCCCCTTCCAGCTCCTCCCACCCATACAGCTGCACCACCGACGGCTGCACAAAGACCTTCGCCAAGGAGGCCCAGCTGAAGCAGCACCAGCGCGTCCACCGCAAGGCCCTCGTCTGCACCATCTGCCGCGCCGAGCACCGCCACGAGCACAAGTTCGCTCAAGTGCGGGACCTAGAGCGGCACATGCAGGCGCGCCACAAGGACGTCGCCGAGAAGAACAACGTGCGCTCCGAGATCCGCCAGTGCCCGCACCAGGGGTGCGAACACCAGGGGAGGCGGGACAATGTGTCGAGGCACCACAAGAGTAAGCACGGTAAGGAACTCAAGTGGAAGAGGGGTATTCCTCACGTGGTGGGTTGAGTTTCTCTTCTCAACCTGGTCTAATGTTCTCGACCCAAAAAATATGATACGAGCGTTGTGAGTTCTTGGCGTTTATCTACTACCTTTTGCTTTTATTTCCTATCTGTTCGGTTTGGGATCTCGGTAGTCTAGCATTGCATTTAGACATTAACAAATCCTTAAAACATAACTTGCCGGTGCTATGAGAAACGTGACCTAGAGAAATGGGGTCCATCTGGAAATAATGGATCCCTTGGCAGTGGTCACAGCGACTGCACGTGCACCGGTTGATCCAGGAGCGGCGCCGAACATCCCCATAATAACGATCCCCACAAATCCCGACCGTCTCGACCGATTCACCCTGCGCCGTGTCCGGCGGTTGTACTGACGCTAAGCATCCACACTACTGCCACTTGATTCATGGGTCGGGATGCAAGAGGGATTCCAAGTAGTGCTGGGTGCTCACATAGGATCTTCTTTTGCGGTACTGATGAGAAAATCTTAACTGCCAGTGATGGTTCCTCGTACCTGTAACGTCATCACAGTTTTCCCCAACGCAAAAGTGTAGATGACATGAATTAGTACACACAGCCCTCATAGCATGTATACCTTGCACAACCCTCTTCCGCCTCGCTTCAAACCCCAACCCTTCAACGCCTTTCTTATTTTGGGGATACTAGGCCTCATAACTGGTCGCCAACACCTCTCATAGACTCATCCATCCATTTCAAGCCATAATTACAACCTACCCGCAGGAGGCCTCAGACAAGAACCGACTGTGCCGCAAAAAGGAGGTTGGTCTCTTGCGACCTGACCGTTCCAACACGAGATACGTATCAACCAACAGAGATATTTCGACCAAGTGCCGGACCAACTGGAACTGGGTTCCATCCTATCATCGACTCTGTAGATTGACGTGATGGATGCAGTGATCCTTGCCAGCTGAGCCTAAGTTAGTCTGGTCTTCTGCAAGTTACGCGCCGAGGGGAGTTTTGGTGTGGCTCAACTTTAACAAAAACTTTTGATCTCGTTAATCTCACTGTGTCATCACCTTTTGATCACTCTGACTATTGCGCCCATCTCACTCTTTTCGCTCTGTTTCTCTCGGTCTGCTTCTTTCGGTTAATACATCCATTTCACTCTTTTTCTCCACTTCCGTCACTTCACGTTTTTCCAGCTACTGTGCATAATTACTTCTTTCCACTCTGTTTCTGCGACTTCACATGCTCAACTAGGGAGAACATTTCAGCAACACTCTACTCTGCATTTGTCAGTCGTTTTTCACTTTATCTTCATTGTTTGTTCTGTCTGACTATTCAGCCCATTTCACTCATTTCAACTACCTCACCTATTTCACTTTTTCCAGCTCATTCCAGCCGTGATGCCTATTTTACTCTTTTTGCTCTTTCCCACACTTGTACTCCTCTCACTTATTGCGACGGTTTCCCTTATCTCACCCATTCATTTCACTCTCTGAGTCTTTTCAGACACACACCATTTTCGACCTTTCCGTTCTATCGGACCTTCCAATCACTTTCAGCTCTATTACCACTTTCACTTTTCTCTAATCACCAGTTTCAACCTTCCCAATCTTTCCACCGTTCCCACTCATTTACACCTCTTATATGCGCGCGGGAAGGGTGGCGTTCACATGCTCTCCGCCTACTGCTCGGATTCAAGCAGCACCTATTTGGTTTTACCCAACTTTTTCATCACTTTCCACCGTTGTATCTTTTCTTTCGTCTATCTGAAGTCTGCGAAAGTTCCGCACCCCTCTCTACAAAGTGAAATGCATTTCACTCCACTTCAACCCAATCTAATCAATGTCATACGTTCCGCCCATTCAACCATTTCACTTTTTTTTCACAACTTTCAGCCCATCCAACTTTTTGAAACTCTCAATCTTCTCAACTGACTCATCCCTTTCAACCCTTCCGTTGCCAGTGCCTCAGCTCTGTCACCCCTACCACCCTTCTGCCTAATTGCTGAAGCAAGTTGGTCAGGCAGAATCAAGGAGCGAGCAAGACTCGAGTCACAAGCCCCACACCCAACTTCCCTCTCGCCTAATTTTTCTTGGCATCTGCTGTTAGTGAATGAGTGAGCCTACCACCAAATTACTAACAGCCGAAAACTCTTCACCTCCCCTTGCCGGAGCCCGCATCCGCGATGGCCTCACAGCCGCCGTCGGGCACCGGACTGATGTCGGCCGACCAAGCCGACCCCGAACCAGGCTCCGGGACACCTCCGGAGCCGAACCCCACCTCAAGAGCTAAGCGACGCCGCGACGCCGAGGCACAGCCGACCCGGCCCAGCCTAACGGGAAGCCAGCTTGATGCCACCACCGACGCCCCTACCTCGGCCGAGGGGCCCGCAGCCTCTACCGCATCTGCTCCGAGCGGATCTGCCACAGGGTCCGTCTTGACAGCCCTTGCAGAAGAAGCTAGACAGTACGAGGCACGGAAAGACGTCTTTCTGACCATTGCACGGTCCGTCGACAGCGTTGTCGCCAGCTTTGACGGTTCTAGAAAGCAGATCGCGAAAGAAGCCACTGCCTATGTCATTCAAACCCTCAAGAGACTGATCAATCACGAGACAAGCCCAATAGCGGCCCGGAGTTGGGCGGCTGTCGTCGCACCGATGGCGGGCAACACCACTGCGGCGACCCGGAGCGGCCAGAGCTGCCAGAGCTCTGCCCGCCCGAAGGCCACACTCCCCGCCGAGGATCAGCCGCAGGCGCAGCCGAAGGAGGACCTCCGCATCTTTGCCCGCGTCCCGGAAGAAAGCTTAGCGGCCGCTCGGAAGATCGCACCGTTCGCCGTACGACAGATCGTCTGTAAGGCCGTTGGCCTGGGGCTAGCGGACCTTCCCCACGTCTACCATATCAGCACAGGTTACTCTCTGAAGCCGCGAAACAAGCAAATACAGGAAAGACTACTTACAAGTAAGGCAAAGCTGGCGGAATGCCTCGGCGCCCACCAAGTCGAGACGCCTATCAAGTGGCACACATACGTTGTGCCGCGATGCCCAACAAAACTACACAGCATTGGCGGGGACGTCCTGGACCCAGCCACACTCGTTGAAGATGAGGTCTTCGCACAGACAGGACAGAAGCCTGTCCTTGCTCGACCGTCCCGCCTTGGGCCCAACCCAGTCACGAACGAAATATCTTGGCTCATATCATTCACATCAGAGGTCACGCCCTTCAGGCTCTTCAACCAAAGCGGCAGATCTCTGCCCATCAAAAAACGAAGGACGCTCATCCGACATGACCCCGGCTGCCAGGGCTACCACGCCAACCGT